TTACCCCATCTCCATAGAGCAGGGAGGGACATGACAGGGCTCAGGACAGAGGGAGCTTTCTGGCAGCAGCTGCTGTCTCAACTTGCTGATCTACTTAAAAAGGCAATGTACTTAGAATGGGGTCAGCTTACTTAAAGGGGCAATGCACATCTCTCTCTTGCACACAGGGTGTGTCTTTCTGTCTCTGTCTGCCATGCTGTCTCCCCTCCCTCCATTTGTGCTGCCTTGTAGAGTGTGAGGATACATTAACAACAATGTATTTAACCCTTGAGGGCTCAGCTGAGTACTAGTTTATCATTTAGCACTAAGGCATTCCCTGGGAAATATCCCAGCCTCTGACTTCACCACCTCAACCAAGCTTCACAATCTTCATTGCTGTGTACAGTATTAAATTGTTTGTATAAAATTTATACTGTGTAATATAATATAGACTTTTGTCTGGTGAAAAACATTTTCCCTAATCCCCACTATTTACATTAATTCTTATGGAGAAATTGGATTTGCTTAACATCGTTTCACTTAAAGTTGCTTTTTTCAGGAACATAACTACAACGTTAAGCGAGGAGTTACTGTAAAACTAAAGAAGCAGTTGGCATAACATACCTCATCTGCATGCTTTGCAAAACACAGAGAAGGTAGTTTTCTTTTAGGTTAGTTATAGAGAAAATAAATCTTACATTTTAAATTGGTCTTCTTTAATAGCTCCATGACGAGCTTGATCTACCCTCTCCCTTCTATGTCCAGAGCACCCTTTGTCTTTTCTAAACTTACTTATCAAGTTCCTGGTGTGTTGCTGGCAGATCAGGTGCCAGCTCATGCCAAGGCCCCGAGGTCTCAACTGGGGCTGTCAGATTATTTTAAAAATGAATTGTGAGATTGAAAAAAAGTCACAATTAATTTTGACATTTTAATTGCACTGTTAAAATAATACCATTTATTTAAATATTTTTGGTGGGCCGGGGGGAAGGAAGTGTGTGTGTGTTGGGGGAGTGCTGTCTCTAAGCAGAGCACTCAGGAATCTTGTTTAGCCATCAGCAGGTGTTGTCGGCAGCACTCACTCCCAAGCCAGCAGCAGACGGGCTCCACTTAGAATCATAGAATATCAGGGTTGGAAGGGACCTCAGGAGGTCATCTAGTCCAACCCCCTGCTCAAAAGCAGGACCCATACCCAATTAAATCATCCCAGCCAGGGCTTTGTCAAGCCTGACCTTAAAAACTTCTAAGGAAGGAGATTCCACCACCTCCCTAGGCAACGCATTCCAGTGTTTCACCACCCTCCTAGTGAAAAAGTTTTTCCTAATATCCAACCTAAACCTCCCCCACTGCAACTTGAGACCATTACTCCTTGTCCTGTCCTCTTCCACCGCTGAGAATAGTCTAGAACCATCCTCTCTGGAACTACCTCTCAGGTAGTTGAAAGCAGCTATCAAATCCCCCCTCATTCTTCTCTTCTGCAGACTAAACAATCCCAGTTCCCTCAGCCTCTCGTCATAACTCATGTGTTCCAGACCCCTAATCATTTTTGTTGCCCTCTGCTGGATTCTGTCCAATTTATCCACATCCTTCTTGTAGTGTGGGGCCCAAAACTGGAGACAGTACTCCAGATGAGGCCTCACCAATGTCGAATAGAGGGGGACGATCACGTCCCTCGATCTGCTCGCTATGCCCCTACTTATACATCCCAAAATGCCATTGGCCTTCTTGGCAACAAGGGCACACTGCTGACTCATATCCAGCTTCTCATCCACTGTCACCCCAGGTCCTTTTCCGCAGAACTGCTGCCTAGCCATTCGGTCCCTAGTCTGTAGCGGTGCATTGAGTTCTTCCGTCCTAAGTGCAGGACCCTGCACTTATCCTTATTGAACCTCATCAGATTTTGGCCCAATCCTTTGGCAAAATCCAGATTTTGGCCTCTTTTGGCCCAATCCTCCAATTTGTCTAGGTCCCTCTGTATCCTATCCCTGCCCTCCAGCGTATCTACCACTCCTCCCAGTTTCGTATCATCCGCAAATCTTGTTCTCGGATCCTAGCTCAGTGGTGACTGGGTACTCTGGTGCGGGAAAGGGAACACCCCGATATCAACCTTCTTCACCCCTGCTCTGTGCAGCAGACAGGAGACAGGCTTCCAATCTGGAGCTGCTTGGCTAGGGGTGACTCAATGGGGGTGGGAAAGAGGCGGAAGCAGTAGAGGAGCAGGGTGATGGGAGGAGGGACACTGCTGCCCTGGAGGCATGTGGCAGTGCCCACCTGTGCATGGTGCCCTGGTGTGCAATTAATGCTTGTTTAAAAAAAGTGTTAATTTGTTGAGTTAATCGCATGCATTAACTGTGATTAATTGACAGCCCTAATTATTATTTTTGATTACAAATATTTGCAGTGTAAAAAGATGAAAAAAAGATGGAGCAATCTACAAGTTGAAGCATGAAGGGGCATACAAATGTTTAGCATGTAAATACCTTGCATCTCTGGCTACAACAGTGCTACTTTCAGGTAGCATTATCTCCCATAAATGTAAACAAACTTGCTTTTCTGAACAAGCAGTAGGTCCAAGTGGACTTGTAGGCTCTAAAGTTTTATATTTTTTTTTCTGAGTGCAGTTATGCAAAATAATAATAATTCTACATTTGTAAATTGCACTTTCATGAGAAAGAGATTGCACTACAGTACTTATATGTGGTGAATTGAAAAATACTATTTTATCTTTTTTACAGTGCAAATATTTGTAATAATAATAATAAAGAGAGCACGGTACACCTTGTATTCTGTGTTGTAATTGAAATCAATATTTTTGAAAATGTGAAAAAAATCCAAAAATATTTATAATAAATTTAAATTGGTATTCTGTTATTGTTTAACAGTACAATTAAAACGTCGATTAATCGTGATTAATTTTTTAATCTAGTTAATTTGTTTTGCGTTAATTGCTTGAGTTAACTGTGATTGACAGCCTTAGTCCTAACTGAACACTGAAATACATAGCTGGAGACTAGTCTGGCTCACTTATGTGTTAGTATTGTTAAAATATATGTTAAATTTATAAAAGTGTTTAGTCTTTATGAAATGCTTATCGGATAACATCTGTACCCCATGTTATAAGGTGATATTAAGTGTTTGCATTGTAATCCTCCATAAGTCATCAAACAGGAAAGAAGCATTAGTTTATGTAAAATACTGGCTTCCTGCACCAGTATTAGTGCCTGCCTACCAAGAAGGCCCTCTGAAATCAAATGAGACATTGTGAAATATCAAAGAACACAGACATTAACTACATTTCTCCCTCCCCCATAAAGAGGAGATGTGTGTGTGTGAGCTCATCCCATCATCTTGAACTTTGGGAGGAAGGGAATAAAAATCCCTGACAGAAGAACTGTATCTCTATGATGCTTGGACTTTGGGAGAGCAAGATTTCTAAACATAAGCAAAGGATCCCCAGCTGCTTAGCCTGGATTAGCCCTAAAGGATATATACAGTTTGCTTATTGCAGCAACTTCTATCACCTTTTGGAATCTAAGACTGTAACTTATTTGTGTGTGTGTGTGTATCTGCTTTAACTTTGTAAATAACTCATTTTCTTTTTCTTAGTTACTAAAACTTTAGTTAATTATAAAATTGTCCACAAGGGTTGTCTTTGATGTAAGATCTAGAGTGCAATTGACCTAGGGTAAGTGACTGACCCTTCGGGATTGAGAGTAACCTGAGTATTAGTGTGATTTTTTTTGTTTAAGGGACCATCTTCTACAAAGGCAAGCTTGCCTAGATGGCAGGAAAGACCGGAGTACCCAAGGGGACTGTCTGTAACTCCATGTTTAGGCTGTTATAGTGCCTGAGGAGTTTACACTTGATTCTTGGTTGGTGAAAGCTAAGTATAGAATTCACAAGCAATTTGGGGTTTGTGCCCTGCTTAGAATCATAAAATCATAGAATATCAGGGTTGGAAGGGACCTCAGGAGGTCATCTAGTCCAACCCCCTGCTCAAAGCAGAACCTAATCCCTAACTAAATCATCCCAGCCAGGGCTTTGTCAAGCTTGACCTTAAAAAGCTCTAAGGAGGGGGGCATGTGGCTCCGTGTGCTGCCCCTCTCTGCAAGCACCACCCCCACAGCTCCCATTGGCCACAACTCCCCGTTCCTGTTCCTGGCCAATGGGAGCTGCTTGCAGGTAGGAGCAGCATGCAGAGGGAAACCTCTGCTTCTCCACCCCCAGGGATGCGCTGGCCACTTCTGGGACCGGCATGGGGCTGGGGCAGGCACCTGCCTTAGCGGCAGCCACGCTACACCACCAGAGAGCACAATCGACTGGGATATCCTTTTGGATTAACCAGTTGATCATGATCTACCAGTTGGTGACCACTGGTATAGAGTCACCTTTCAAATGGTTACCTTCCTGGGTCAAGTAGAGCATTTCACAGATCACTCTGTTTTGCTGTATCCAGTTTGTACAAAAAGATTGGATTTCTCTAGGTATACATCTCTCTTACCTATCTTCCTTTGATATGAAATATAAACTGGAAGATTTCAGGTCCTCTGTTATACCCCATTTACATATTCACCATATCATGTGTTAAATAAGTATTAGTTATTTTATTATATTTTAAGTCAACTGTCCTTAATTCAAAATTATATGTTTTGTGTTGGTGTCCTTTTAAACAGGAGAAAATGGGAAGTAGTAATTAATCAGAAGAATTTGGTAAAGCATGTATGTTGCAGAACAGAAGATTTAGTGAGTGTGATAGGTTATGAAATAAGTTTCACATTGGGAAAGATTCATGGAAGATTAAAGTTCGGTTGGTAGAACTGTGTGAAAGAAAGTTGTATGGCTACCATGAAAGTTGTCTTACAGGATGATACTGTGACATCTTGTTGTGTCAATGGGAAAACTTGTTATAAAAGTTGACTTTTGTTTAAGGAATTAAACTAACATTTGATTAACGAGCTAAATAATGTACAAGTTCCTTGGACAAAAGTTCTAATATTTGAAATTATTTTTCATTTTTTTGGCAGCCTTGCTTTGCATCCTGAACGAGTGTTGGTGGCAACAGGTCAAGTTGGAAAAGAACCATATATCTGTGTTTGGGATTCATACACTGTGCAAACTATATCGATACTGAAAGATGTTCACACACATGGTATAGCTTGCTTGGCATTTGACTTAGATGGGCAGGTATGTAGTCAATATTCTATTTTCAAAATCTGTTTTTAAAAAGTCCTCCTATACAACTTTCTTTTAGGAGATGAACTGAATCAAAGGTTTTATTTGTCTAGTTCCAGTTTCAGGAAAGTGATGTTAATATTTACAGACACTTTTCTTGCCAAATTTAAAAATTTGCAGCTTCAGAAGAGATGTGAATGAGGAGATGTGGGAAGCCTACTGCACTGGAGTAGGGAGATCATTCCAGGTATGGAGAGAGCAAGAAAGAAGACACACACGATGGCAGGCTCTTCCCCGGCTAACAAAATGTTAGCCATCTTGAAAAGAGGATTTAAAAAAAAAATCACAGGCTTAGGGCCAGATTATGTGATTATGGTACTGGCCTTTATTGGAGGCAGTGTGGAGCCGCTGCTCCAGCGGGGCTTTAGGAGGCACTGTTCCCAGAGAAGCAAATTGCTTCCCTGAATGTCTCAGCACCCTGCATAGTCGCTTCTCTGAGCTAGATGGCTCTGCTAGTTGATGTGGGGCATGTTTTAGTTTATTCTCTCTATTTTTGGGGGTTGCTAGCACTTCAGTCCTAACGGAAATTGTGCCTGGCCTCTCCACAGGGTGGGGAGAAGGCTCCTTGTGCTACTCTACTTCCCCGTCTTATTCTCCCCTTCTTACAGACCTGTGCAGAGGCCAGGCACAATATGGTCCTTAGGCTGTGTTCTTTCCTATCTGACTTTAGTTCCTTCTGTTAGCCAGGGAAACTAATTTCTGTTCCCAGTTAAAAATGTAGTGGTGAAGTGATCAATTATTCTCATTATCTGAGCAAGAATTAGGGTAAGAATGCTCCCAAGTGTGAATTTCATTTAAAAAACCTGGAAACATAAGAGGGAAGCTGTAGAGATCATCAGTGTGACAGGGAATCTTTGGGTTTTAGATTTCTCACTGTGGCTAAACTTTCAGGATGCATTGCTTGCAAGAACAACATTCTTTCACCTACAGTGGGCAAAGAAAACTATGCCTCTACCCCTCAAATGCTGTTCTAGCATCAATCATTCTTGCCTTCATAACCTCTTAGCTCAACTATCCTAGTCTAGGACTAAAGTTTATCTAAGATTATCTGTTAAAGTCTGCTGGAAACTCCCTCTAGTCCAGACTATAGCTGCCTGTCTGGACTTGTTGCCATTTGACTGGTGTGTGAAATTCAAGGTACCGATTGCCATATATAAAGCCCTAAATGGGTTTAAGCCCAGGCTAAGACCTTAAGGCTGTCTCATCATCTCCAAACTACCATACATCTACACTCATCAGGGACATAAATAACCTTTTTGTATTTTGGGGGGGACTAGAATTAAAAAAAAATAGCTTTTGAATATCATTTCAATTAGTAGTTTTGCACCGTAACGAAATTTCTTCACTTTTATTAAAATGAGATAAATGAACTCCAGTTCCCAATTCATTGTTTCTTTATTAATACAGTTTCTACGTTTTTGGGGGAAAGGGGAGGAGGGCTATAGCTTCCTTAGTCCCCAGTTGTCTATGCCCGTGTTCATCCAGTATATTACAACTTTCTGGCTCCAATGGTAAAGTTTATGGTAGAGGCTTCTTGATAGGAGAGTTGCACCTCTAAAATATTTTGTCTATGGAAATACAGTTAAGCATGAACCTAGCCACTTTTAGAAAGAACTTCAAAACCTACCTCTTTGTTCAGGTGTTCCATACTAATTAAATCCTGCTTTTCTAGCTCTCTGGTAAATCTGCAGGCAGATGGGAAGCACGAAATTTGGTCTCTTTTTGAGATTTGAATCTCTACTTAAGTTTTGTGTAACACCCAGATCTCATGGCGATGGGTGCTTTAAAAATTATTATAATGGTAATAGATTCAGTATACCTTTACTCCATTCATTGCTGAGCAGGATTGTTAATGCTGGAGCTGGATCAATTTCTGTTTGGAACATTTTCAGTAGAAAGAGTGGATTTTGAAAGATCTGAAAACTGGGAATTTATGGAGTTTTGCAAATAGAGACCAGAGAGATCACTTCCATGTACACCTCTACCCCGATATAACGCGACCCGATATAACACGAATTCGGATATAACGCGGTAAAGCAGCGCTGAGGAGGGGAGAAGGCTGTGCACTCTGGTGGATCAAAGCAAGTTGATATAACGCAGTTTCACCTATAATGCGGTAAGATTTTTTGGCTCCCGAGGACAGCGTTATAGCGGGGTAGAGGTGTAGTTTCTTTGCTGTGGGCTGTGCACCTTGCAGCCAGTTTGGTGTTGGTGGTATTGTAGGTAGATTTCCCTGATAGGCAGACTTTTTAATTGACTATTATCATCTACGTGTGTCAGAAAATGGAAACTAAATTTGCCTCAACTTGGTACTATGAGTGTAAGCATTATCAGTTAAAAGGAGGAAAAATCTTTGTCCATAAGGCTCACAAGTCCTTCCTCTGTCAAAATTAAGCCATCACCATCCAAATGTAAAAACAAACAAACCCAAAACACCCTACCACCCACTTTGTATTTGTCTGATCTTAGTCTGTCTTTAAGATTGTGTAAGATGATTGTGGTCAGATCTTACACAGTAACAAATGTGCTCTCAATGTTTAAGAAATAAATAATAAAGTTGAACTGCAAAGCTAAAATGAAGTGAGTTAAGCCCAGAAAAATGCTGTATATGTCCACATATTAGGCTAAGAGAGGGCTGGGAGCACAGAAAGATTTTTATTTATTTATTTACTTTATTTTTTTCATCTCAGGAATAACTTTTTGGCACTTCCAGATTTGCAGTTCATCTTTTGTCTGGGGACTCCTTGGATATGCTTACTGAATTGCCTCAGTGCTGGTTTTAGGCCCTGATGCTAAAGCAATCATGCAAGACAAAATCAGTTGCTGCTTTGGAGGCAGAAGGAGGCAGCACAAATTATTTCATAACATAGCTTAAGGAGAATGATATAGATTAGCCTTCAAAATATAAATTAACCACCATTCTTGCATAGCTATGGATGCCAGTGAAGGTTGAAAGTGCAGAATTGAATTGCATCTTTTGTTAAGCATCATCTGGGAAGCTGAATGTGCAAATGCATACAGTCCACTTTTCTCTCTGTTTCTTTCATGCAGCCTCCTTACTCCTGAAATGTCTTCTCTCTTGATCTCTTAAGAATTTCAGAAAATTAAATAAAGTTTAATAGGTATAGAATATTAAAAATATTTTAGGGTATTGGCTGAACTGAATTTTAAAAACACTCTCAGCTTTAACTTCATTATTTTTAAAGAAATATTTTGTTTAACAGGTTTTGAAGATGTAAAGATAAAGATGAAGTGTTTATTCTTTACCCTTCCTTGAAATTTTAATATTAATACTTACGTAAGTGTTTACAGGATCAGGGTGTACGTACTTTAAATTTAAACTAACTTCAGTGGGACTGCTCACATACTTAATGTTTAGCACCTGCATTTTTACAGAATTGAGTCTTAGGTACAGAGTAATGTTTTATGTTTTATTCACATTTGTATATTGAGGACATTTCAAGAACAATATTCAAAATATTAATTTGGAAATATCTATTAATATCTGTTAAGGTACTAGTTAACCTCAGGTTTATAAAGTGTATTGTTCTTCTACTGACACAATCTCCATGGAAGTTTTTTGCTTACATGAAGACTAGCACTGTGCCCTGTTGCTCTATTTTTTCCTCTGAAATATATATACAATTAGATTTCTTTTAAAAATCCAGTTATGGTAAGAAGTCTCTCAAAATTAAATGGGAACGTGATTCAAATATTGATGTTTTCCTTTTTTCTTTTTTTAAACTTCTTGGAAATTATCAGCGTTTGGTCTCAGTGGGTCTGGATTCAAAAAATACAATATGCGTGTGGGACTGGAGAAAAGGAAAAATGTTATCTATGGCTCCTGGTCATACAGACAGGGTAAGCATAACTACTTAATAAGAGTATTGGTGGAATTTTGATACATTGAAACCTCTGTGTGTACATATTGGGAATTTTTGTTTTCTGAATAACAGCTGTTTTAGATTATAGAAGATGATCGTGTTAACTTTATTTGAGGGAAAATATATGCGTCATAAATATCTATGCTTTATGTGATATGTAGTTCACCACATATTTATGCATAGTCTGTGGAGACCTAGAAGCATATATTGAAAGGTGTCATATTTGAGGCAACTCTAGACCCTACTTCTTGTATGGGAAAACCAAAGTGTGCCAAATCTTTTTAACTCTGGAATTCATTCGGTGTATGTGGCTTAATAGTTGGGAAATACACACAGTATTTTGGAGACCATTTTGAAGCAGGCTTATTCATAGCTTTTATACAAATGAAAGAACACTCAAAAAGAACACTGTTAAGACATGTTACAAGAACTTAAACCAACTCCATTTAACAATAATATACATTTGGTGACTATTTTCATTTTTATTGTCTTGCTGGCATTTAAAATCTTCCAGGCCTGTGAGAATATCACCAATAACTCCTTCAGAGCATTCTGGCAAATAGATATTGAACTTTATCTCCTTATCAAGCTTCTAATTTAGACATATAAATCTAAAGATAATACATAAAAATGAGAAAAGGCAAAAAAGAACATTAACCTGCACAACTTCACAGTCCTCAAATATCAGAAAATAACAGCATTAGACTTCTGTGTGCCCCTTTTTACATAATCACATATTATTTCTCAAATGCAAGATAGGATTTTTTTCTACAACTTATAAATAGACACACAGCATCTTCTGTAACTGTACAGTATGTTACTTTGGGTATGCCAGACAAATACAGATAATGAAAGATATTTATATAATGTACAATGCAATTTAACTTCTGAGGGGAGGCATAAAAAATAGTCCCAATAAACTTCTTTGAAAAGCTCTGAAATAGCTTTCTGCCATCTGTAGGTCAGTAGATTTTGTGCTGTTTGTCATCTTGATGTGAATTTGTGTTATTTTCATTTATATCTAAAATTATACATGTATTAAAAATGCCATCTTTACTAGCATTCTGATTTATTTGCAGATATTTGATATTTCTTGGGATTTGTACCAACCAAACAAACTAGTCAGCTGTGGTGTAAAACATATTAAGGTACTGTACTAAATTTACATTTTTCTTATATAAATATGTTGTTATATTTACTATCACTTTTTTTGGTAAAACAAGTAATTATGGAATCTAAAGGGAGGGGAGGGATAGCTCAGTGGTTTGAGCATTGGTCTGCTAAACCCAGGGTTGTGAGTTCAGTCCTTGAGGGAGCCATTTAGGGATCTGGGGCAGAAATTGGGGATTGATCCTGCTTTCAGCAGCGGGTTGGACTAGATGACCTCCTGAGGTCCCTTCCAACCCTGATATTCTATGATTCTATACTTTTATATTTAATTTAGATAGGAGGCTTGTATTCAGAATCTTACTAATAAATCACAAGCAAAAATATTATTGCTCATGAGATATTCTGATAACTTTTCTATTAATAGACTGTATTAGATTCAGTTGCTGCTTAATATAAATTGAACATGTAAATTGGAAAAATAACATTGTTTGTAATTAGACAACTGCTAGTGCAGTTTCTTTTTTAAAAAGGACATGAGAGTTCTTCCACAAGATACAGTGAAGTTAATTAAAAATAAAGTATTATAAAATATACTGTTTTGAGATCCTAAGTAAGTAGTGGTGGTGGTAGTGATGATGATATTTTACTACATCCTACTTTTGCTGATGTTGGCACACAGGGCAGAAACTAGTCTCTTCCATCCATCTCTGTCATTATCTGCTGCTTCCATCTGCTCTAGGGTGTTGAGATTGACTGTTCTGTCCTCTCTGCTAAGGGTGGTGGTTCTTCTCTGGGGTGCCCTTGTTTCCTCGCACCAGTTGGTTTCCACCTGAGAGCTTTGGGAGTCTGTACGTTGGCATGCCCCATATATGTCCAACATTTCCTTCTAATTCTAGTGGAGATAAGCTGCTGGTTGATAATTTCTCAGATCTCTTCGTCATTGATAAAGTCTCACTATCCAGTGCCCAGAATCTTTCGTAGGCATTTATTTTCATAAGCATCTAGTTTTCTATCTAACATTTTAAGATCTCCAGCTCTTTCAGCTGTATTTTAGCACTGAGATTACATTTTAGTTGAAAGTTCAGTTTTGTTTTGGTACTGTGTATCTTTGATTTCCATAGGTTGTTGAGTTTTTAGTGAATGCTGTGGATGCGTTTCCTATCCTTGATATCACTTATTTCACAAAATCTCTGTTAGCTAATATGGTGCTGCTCAGGTAAATGAACTGTTCAACTGTCTTTGTTTTTGCCTTCCGATATGTTGCTGTTGCTTGACGCTAGTGTTTCAAGGACATTTGTTTGTGAGTCCTGCTTTGCCTGATATTTTTGCCAATGTGTCTGTCTTTCTTTGTAGCATTTTGGAGGTGTCGCTCAACAGAGTGATATTATCAGCAAAATCTAGGCCTTGTGAGCAGGCATTTGCCATCTACCCATACTACGTCAGTGTTTGTGTTGCTAATGTGCTTCTTAATTATCCAATCTATGGCAATCCCAAACAATAATGCTAGTGTCCACATTGAACCGTTGTGTTGTCTGGTTGTTTACCCTTACAGAGTTGTTTGCATCAATATATTTAGTCTTGATGATGACAACTTTATCTGGAATTTCGTAAAACTGAAGAATATTCCACAATGTATGCCTATGCAGTCTGTTAAATGCCTTTTGAAATTAGACTAAATTGATAATAAGGGGAGCCTGCCATTGTATGCATTTTTCTGATAGTCCTTAGTGTGAATATTTGATCTACACAGGATCTCTTCGGCTTGAATCCAGATGCTTCTTCACTTAACTTTGCATCCACTGCCTCTTTCATCCTGTATAGTATCACACTATAGAAGACTTTTCCTGCTACAGAGAGTATTGACTCCTATCCAGTCGTTAGTCAGTAAAATCACCATTTTTGAGTATTCTGAGAATTATTCCATGTTTCCGCTGGTTAGGAGTGGTCTCTCTTTCCCCAGACCTCATTAAACAGCTCTGCCAGTTTGGTTAGGGTTGTAGTGTAAAGTGCATTTCTGCTGTGATTTGATCATCTCCCTCTGCTCTGTTGTTTTTGAGCTTTTTGACTGTAGCCTATACTTCTGACATCTCTATGGGACCAATGTTGATATCAAGTTGGTCAGGTTTGAATGTTTCATTGAATTCTGGTGCTGAGGCTTGGTCTATTGAGGATTTATTTAAAATGCTGTGCCCATCTGTTATTCTGTTCTACCTCAGTTGTAAGCATTTCCCTTCTTTATTTTTTATTGTTCCATTTCCTGTTTTGAAGTTTCCACACAGGGTTGTAGTTACGAGTTAAACGACTCTGAGGTTTCCTATCATAACAGCAGCTTCAGCTGCTAAGTCTTAAACATAATGCTGTTTCTTTTTCCTTGCATTGCTTTTCACTGCTTTGTCTGTTTTCTTGTACTCCCTTTTTTGCTTTTTCCAATATTTCATTGATCTTAGCATTCAGGAGTTTTCCTTTTAGTGTTTTACTTTGATCAGTAAGATGCTGTATCTCTTGGCTTATCTAATTCTTGCTTTGTTTATGTTGATATCCAACTACAACTGCTGTTGGTTGAATCACATTGTCACTGAGCACTGCCCACTTTCTTTAGGTCCAGTTGTTGCCTTGTCTTCCTCTGCCTCTGGCAGTGCCTCAAATCTGTTACTTAGTTGAAGTTGGAGTTTTTCACAGTACTTTTTTTGTTTTTTTCAGTTCTGTACTGCGGATTTTCTTGCTGTTTTCTTTTAAAGTTGAGCTTTCCCAGATTTAAATTCAGTTTGGCAAAGCTGTTGGCATCTGCTGCTCGATATGCCCTTGGACTTTGGATAGATGACCTGTATCTTGAGCTAATGCAGATGTGATTGATTTGTTTTTTTTATTTTGGTTTTTTGTTTTGCCAACTGGTGAATTCTATGTTTCTCTATGTATGTTGTTATGAGGCAACAGGGTGCTTGCAAGAACTGGGTTGGACACCATGCACAATTAAATTAATCTCTCACCATTTGGGTTTAATGATTCCCAACACACACTTCCCCACTGATCTTTCCATTCCTTGGTTATCACATCGTACTTTAGCCATCAGAATGAGTAGATCATGTTTTGGTATTCTGTCAATCACATTTGGAGTCAATTATAGTACTTATCTTTATCCTCATCACCATGTTCCTGTGTCAGAGCATAGCATCATATTATTGACATGTTTAGGAATCTGATTTGGAGCCTTGCACATATGATGTGTTGGTTGATAGGTTCCCAGTTGAAAAGTGATTTTTCTATAGAATCTGCTATATTGACTGCTACTCCTGCAAAGAGTGCATTGTCACTAAGACCTGCATAGATGAGATGTTTCTTCTCTTGCTTGGAGTGCTTCTTATCCACACCTGTCAGTCTGCTCTGACTGATGCTCAAGATTTCAATTTCATAGCTGTTCATCTCCCTCATGATCTGTGAGAGCTTTGAAGTGTTTTCTTGCTGTCAGAATCAAACTTTTGGGGGTCTTGTCTTCCAGAGACTGGCTTTTACTGGGAATCTTCATGTAGCATGAGGGGATGGCAGTATTCTCTACTGAGCAACCATATTTACCAGAATGGTAGCTTGGCTCCATTTTCTATAACCAATTAGTTGTGTTGGTTTTTTTTTAACAAGGTTAGGTGGTTAGATTTGAGCTCAAACCTCCTCACTTTGGCCCTGAGGATGTCACATGGGACAGAGCTGTGTGCTGATTGGGCCACAGGTTGAGAAACACTGCTGTAGATTATTTATGGATTTGGGACTACAACTGAACACTCAAAAATTGACTCTAACTCCAGTGCAACATCTAGAATTCATAGGAGCATATCTAGATGCAGTAAAGGCCAAAGCCTTCCTCCCACTACACAGGTTCAACACTAAAAAGAACAGGAGTACTTGTGGCATCTTAGAGACTAACAAATTTGTTAGAGCATAAGCTTTCGTGGGCTACAGCCCACTTCATCGGATGCATAGAATGGAACATACTGTAAGAAGATATATAAATATAGATATATACAGAGAAGTTGGAAGTTACCATACAAACTGTGAGAAACTAATTAGTTAAAATGAGCTATTATCAGCAGGAGAAAAAAACTTTTGTAGTGATAATCAAGACGGCCCATTTAGACAGTTGACAAGAAGGTGTGAGGATACTTAATTTAAGGAAATAGATTCAATATGTGTAATGACCCAGCCACTCCCAGTCTCTATTCAAACCCAAGTTAATGGTATCTAGTTTGCATATTAATTCAAGCTCAGCAGCTTCTCATTGGAGTCTGTTTTTGAAGCTTTTCTGTTGCAAAATTGCCACCCTTAAATCTTTTTACTGAGTGGCCAGAGAGGTCAAGTGTTCTCTACCGATTTTTTGAATGTTATGATTCCTGATATCAGATTTGTGTCCATTTATTCTTTTGCATAGAGACTGTCTGGTCTACAGGACAGGCCCAACAAAGAAAATAACAGAACGCCACTAGCTGTCACCTTCAGCCCCCAACTAAAACCTCTCCAGCACATCATCAAAGATCTACAACCTATCCTGAAAAATGATCCCTCACTCTCACAGATCTTGGGAGACAGACCAGTCCTCGCTTACAGACAGCCCCCCAACCTGAAGCAAATAGTCTCCAGCAACCACACACCACACAACAAAAACACTAACCCAGGAACCTATCCTTGCAACAAAGCCCGATGCCAACTCTGTCCACATATTTATTCAAGTGACACCATCATAGGACCTAATCACATTAGCCATGCCATCAGGGGCTAGTTCACCTGTACATCCACCAATGTGATAGATGCCATCATGTGCCAGCAGTGCCCCTCTGCCACGTACATTGGCCAAACTGGACAGTCTCTACGCAAAAGAATAAATGGACACAAATCTGACCTCAGGAATCATAACATTCAAAACCCGGTGGGAGAACACTTCAACCTCTCTGGCCACTCAGTAAAAGATTTAAGGGTGGCAATTTTGCAACAGAAAAGCTTCAAAAACAGACTCCAATGAGAAACTGTTGAGCTTGAATTAATATGCAAACTA